CTAGTGAGAATCCCTCGCTGGGATGAGCTTCTAAGGGCTGGGGGTGTAGCGATCTTTGATCTTGATTTTGATGCTTATCCTTGCTGCTATGTATGTTGTGGATTATAGTGAGGAGAATGAGGGTTACCGTTGTTTCCAGCCCACCGACCCGGCAATTGGTACTGAGCTGCGCTAGTGGCTTGTGAGGCTGCTGCTCTAGGTGCCAGTGCGTCTGTGGCTCTCAGGTACTGGTGAGAACTGCGCTCTCAGGTACTGCGTCGTCCTCGTCCTCCCTCACTTCCACACTTGACTCCGGAGCTTCTCGCTCCTTCTTTCGAGACCGCAACTACCCTTACGCCGCTCGGCCGGCCGGTTTGCGGTCTCCCTTGCTGACCCCCTCTGGGGGTCCTGTCCTGTCTCACTTCTCCACTGTCCTCCCGTGTCCCGGCTGCCCCTTCGGGCACCCTGTCGGGTCTGTACCTTCCCTCGTTCTCTACGAACTTGGTGAGTGGAGCGGACCTGCAGGATGTGGGGGTTCACCAGTTCACTCCTACGAGTCAGCGGGTGACCCACTGCACGGAGGCACGCACAGGGCCGACACCTGCCACGTTCTCCGCGTCGGCCGGGGTCGAGTCTCTACACCCTGACCGTTGAGTCTCCTCCTGTCCCTGCGTCTGGTCAGGTGGCTGCGTCGGGTCAGGTGCTTGCTGCTGCTGCGTCCCGGTCAGGTCCTGAGTCTGCCCCCCTTTTCCTTGTCGCCTCCTGTCTCACGAGACTCTCCTGTCGCACCACCGTCTTGGCCACCCCTCCTTGCCCCGTCTTCGGAGCATGGCTTCCCGTGTCCTTGTCCTCTGGTCCTTCCCCCCAGTCTCTCCCTCCTCTCCCCTCTGGGCCAGGACCTTTCCTGTGTCCCCCCTGTGTCGAGGGTCGCCTCCGGGCTACTCCTCACTCCCTCCACTTCCCCCCCCGACAGAGGCTCCCCTGCAGACGCTTCACATGGATTGTGGGGCCCAGCCCCCGTCCGTGGGCAGGGTTACGAGCGCTACTTTCCTGTTGGTGGTTGAACGACTACTCGCGTTACACCACAGTCCCTCCCTTGCACAGCAAGGGTGCGGTCACTGAGGTGCTGATCGACTGGATCCGCGAGGCTCGTCTCCCATCCAGGAAAGAGCTTCGGCTCGGACTTTCCCTGTTCCTGCCGTCTGCACTCCGGACCAGAGGCGGAGAGTTTCTCTTCTCGCCTTCCTGCGGGACTACTTCCGTCGGCACGGGGGATCCGCCAGACCTTCACGCTTTCCCGGACTCACCACAGCAAAATGGGATTGCTGAGCGCCGCATTGGCATGGTCATGGATGTTCGCTCGTACGTTCCATGATGCATGCGGCTGCCCCCCATTTTCTGTGGCCCGTTTTTCGCGGTGAGGTACGCGGCGCATCAGCTCAACCTTCACCCCCGGGTCCCTCTCTCGGCTGCGATGTCCCCAGCCTTGCTGTGGACGGGGAAGGTTTGGCGATGCGTCTGTGGTTCCGTTCTGGGGATCTCAGAGCGTTTGTCCCGCGACTTGTCTGCGGACAAGTTTGTCCCCTCGTGCTGCTCCCTGTGTCTTCCTTGGCTTCCCCACTGACGCCCCAGGGTGGCAGTTTTAACCACCCCTCCTCTCGTCGTGTTCTGTCCTCCCAGGACGTCACGTTTCGACGAATCAGTCCCCTTCTACCGCCTCTTCCCCTACCGCACTCCTTCCCTCCCCCCTCCCCCGACTTCCTTGTGCCGTTCCTCCCCGGTAGACCCCCTCCCACCTCAGGTTCTGCCCCCTCATGTTGTCCCAGGTAGACGCCGTTGACCCGGTCGAGGTTACTGGTGACTCTGGTGCCTGCTGCGGGTGCTGAGCCTGGGGTGCTGACTCTGGGGGTGCCTGTGCGCTGGGGGTGCTGAGCCTGGGGGTGCTACTGCTGGGGGTGCTGGGCCTGAGGGTGCTACTGCGGAGGTGCAAAGCCTGGGGTGCTGAGCCGGGGGGTGCTGTGCCTGGAGGTGCTGGTCTGGGATGCTGGTCGGGAGCTGCTGAGCCTGGGGTGCTGAGCTGGGAGCTGCTGAGCCTGGGGATGCTTGCGTCTGGAGCTGCTGAGCCTGTTTTCCTCCTGCTGCTGCGTACTGCGCCGGGAGCCCCTCTCTCCACAGGAGCTGCGCGAGTGGTTCGCCTCGCCGCTGGAGGCGTTCTGCTGAGTCTGGAGGTGCTTGCTGGAGCTGGAGCTGGAGCTTTCTTCGACCGTCGAGGTGGCGGGTGGCTGCCGGTTCCCGAAGCTGGCTGGACCCCGCAGGTCCCAGGCTTCGGACCGGCAGCACCCGCACCTCGACGTTCGAAGAAGCTCCAGCTCCAGCTCCAGCAGCACCTCCAGACTCAGCAGCACGCCTCCAGCGGCGAGCGAACCACTCGCGCAGCTCCTGTGGAGAGAGGGGCTCCCGGCGAGACGCAGCAGCAGGAGAAACCCCAGGCTCAGCAGCTCCAGACGCAGCATCCCCAGGCTCAGCAGCTCCCAGCTCAGCACCCCCAGGCTCAGCAGCTCCCGACCCAGCATCCCCAGACCCAGCACCTCCAGGCACAGCACCCCCCGGCTCCAGCCCCCCAGGCTTTGCACCCTCCGCAGTAGCACCCTCAGGCCCAGCACCCCCAGCAGTTAGCACCCCCAGGCTCAGCACCCCCGCGCACAGCACCCCCAGAGTCAGCACCCCCAGGCTCAGCACCCGCAGCAGCACCAGAGTCACCAGTAACCTCGACCGGGTCAACGGCGTCTACCTGGGACACACATGAGGGGGCAGGAACCTGAGGTGGGAGGGGGTCTACCGGGGGAGGAACCGCACAAGGAAGTCCGGGGGAGGGGGGAGGGAAGGAGTGCGGTAGGGGAAGAGGCGGTAGAAGGGGACTGATTCGTCGAACGTGACGTCCTGGGACAGGAAAACGACACGACGAGAGAGGGGTGGTAAAACTGCCACCCTGGGCGTCAGTGGGGAAGCCAAGGAAGACACAGGGAGCAGCACGAGGGGACAACTTGTCCGCAGACAAGTCGCGGACAAACGCTCGAGATCCCCAGACACGGAAACACAGCAGACGCATCGCCAAACCTTCCCCGTCCACAGCAAGGCTGGGGACATCGCAGGCCGAGAGACCCGGGGTGAAGGTGAGCTGATGCGCCGCGTACCTCACCGCAAACGGCCACAGAAAATGGGGGCAGCCGCATGCATCATGGACGTACGAGCGACATCCATGACCATGCCAATGCGGCGCTCACAAGCAATCCCATTTTGCTGTGGTGAGTCCGGAAGCGTGAAGGTCTGGCGGATCCCCCCCGTGCACGACAGTAGTCCCGCAGAAGGCGAGAAGAGAACTCCCGCCTCTGTCCGAGTGCAGACGCAGAACGGAAAGTCCGAGCCGAAGCTCTTCCTGAGCTGGAGACGAGCCTCGCGGATCCAGTCGATCAGCACCTCAGTGACCGCACCCTTGCTGTGCAAGGGAGGACTGTGGTAACGCGAGTAGTCGTCAACCACCAACAGGAAGTAGCGCTCGTAACCCTGCCCACGGACGGGGGCTGGGCCCCACACATCCATGTGAAGCGTCTGCAGGGGAGCCTCTGTCGGGGGGAAGTGGGAGGAGTGAGGAGTAGCCCGGAGGCGACCCTCGACACAGGGGACACAGGAAGGTCCTGGCCCAGAGGGGAGAGGAGGGAGAGACTGGGGAAGACCAGAGACAAGGACACGGGAAGCCATGCTCGAGACGGGGCAAGGAGGGGTGGCCAAGACGGTGGTGCGACAGGAGAGTCTCGTGAGACAGGAGGCGACAAGAACAGGGGGCAGACTCAGGACCTGACCGGGACGCAGCAGCAAGCACCTGACCCGACGCAGCCACCTGACCAGACGCAGGGACAGGAGGACTCAACGGTCCAGGGTGTAGAGACTCGACCCCGGCCGACGCGAGAACGTGGCCAGGTGTCGGCCTGTGCGTGCCTCCGTGCAGTGGGTCACCCGCTGACTCGTAGGAGTGAACTGGTGACCCCCCACATCCTGCAGGTCCGCTCCACTCACCAAGTTCGTAGAGAACGAGGGAAGGTACAGACCCGACAGGGTGCCCGAAGGGCAGCCGGACACGGGAGGACAGTGGAGAAGTGAGACAGGACAGGACCCCCAGAGGGGTCAGCAAGGGAGACCGCAACCGGCCGGCCGAGCGGCGTAAGGGTAGTGCGGTCTCGAAAGAAGGAGCGAGAAGCTCCGGAGTCAAGTGTGAAAGTGAGGGAGGACGAGGACGACGCAGTACCTGAGAGCGCAGTCTCACCAGTACCTGAGAGCACAGACGCACTGGCACCTAGAGCAGCAGCCTCACAAGCACCTAGCGCAGCAGTACCAATGCCCGGGTCGGGCTGGAAACAACGGTAAACCCTCATTCTCCTCACTATAATCCACAACATACATAGCAGCAAGGATAGCATCAAAATCAAGATCAAAGATCGCTACACCAGCCTTAGAAGCTCATCCCAGCGAGGGATCTCACTAGCCCCACGGAACTGCTGACGCCAAGCGTCCGTCAGGCCAAAGCGGCCAGCGCTGGGTGGCGTGGGCACCCCCACACTGCTCACCCGCGCGGTCGTCGGAACGAAGAACGTAGGTGCAGGGACCAGTACCCCCACCCCTCTGACGCCCAGTGTACCACTCACGAAGCTGCTGAGGCGGAGGGATGTCCCCGCGAGCGCTGCTGCTGCTGCCGCTGCGAGCGCTGGCACCACCACCGCCGCTACGCTGCTGGTACCACCTCGACCAGCTCCACCTCCTCCACCACCACCGCCTCCTCCGCTGCCGCCTCCACCGCCTCCACCTCCGCCGCCTCCACCCCGCCGCTGCCTCCACCACCACCGCTGGCACCACCACCACCGTCTCCGCCGCTGCTGCCACCATCACCACCACCCCCGCCACTAGTCCCGCCGCCACCCCCACTCCCTCCGCCGCCACCCGCCGCCACCGGCCACCGCCCCTCCAGCTCCACCCGCGCCCTTGCCCCCCTTGCCCTTGCTGGAGCGACGTCTCCCACTAGGGGCAGACGCCGCGCCGACCGACTCAAGACCAAGCAGGTCGGCAGCAGCAGTAGAGGCAACAGAGGGCAGCAAGGGGGAAGGAGAGCACCCCTCAAAGATGGGGTGCGAGGGTCACCAGGAGAAGCACCTACAGCGACTATGCTCTTCTCCGCTGCGAGGAGGCCTTCTCGAGGAGGTCCGACGGTGAGGGTGGTGGACAGACTGCGAGAAAGTGGTCCCTGACGACGCGAAGGGAGTCAGGGAGGCGCGCGACTACGTCGTAGTAGAGAGCGATGTACATGGGGGGGGTTTCTTAGCGCAGAACTCAGCAGGAAGGGCGGCGCGGTAGCGAGTGTCACTAGTGCGAAGGTGCGTAATGAGGTCAGCGACAGTGGGAAAGGCAGAGAGGTCAGAAAGAGGTAGGGAAGCATGAGACGGCTCAGTGCAGCAGTGGCAGGGGAGGAGTAGCGCGCAACTACAGCGTCGTACAAGGTCTGAGCACTCTTGTACTGACTAAAGTGCGCACGCTCAGAGGTAGGGAGGTGGCGACGCACAGCAAGACGTGCAGCAGCATCGCGGGTGGCCCACTTAGAGCGGACAGTGGGATCAGCATCAGCAGCAGGAGCAGGAGAGGCGCCAGAGGTGAGGTCAAAGAGAGAAAGGTCGTCAGCCCTGTCGCACTGTAAGAACAGCTGCAGGTCGTCTAACCAGACCTCAAAATCAATGGCGCGACCCTCAGCGTCAAAAGCTAGGACACTAGGATAGCCATGGCGTCGACAGCGACGCAGTGCAAGCAGTAGGGAAAGAGCTCGCAGTGTCAATGGGACTGGCCTCACCAGGCAGGGCAGGTCGTGCACTATGCAAGAAGGCGGCTCAGCGACCGGGCGGCTCGGGTGCACAGCGGCTCGGCTCCCGGGCAGCTCGGCGGCTGGGCGGCTCGGCGCAGGCGGCTTCGGCTCCCGGGCGGCTCGGCGATAGGCGGCTCGTTGCAGGCGGCTCGGCGTCCCGGGCGGCTCGGCAGCAGGGCGGCTTCGGGTCCCGGGCGGCTCGGCGTTGGGCGGCCTCGGCTCCCGGGGGTTTTCGGCTGCTGGGCGGCTCTGCTGCTGGGGCGGCTCGGCCGGGAGATGCAGGGGCGGGGCCGTCAGGTGCAGCGGCGGGTCGACCGGTGCAGCGGCGGGCGGCAGGTGCAGTGGCGGGGCCGTAGGGTGCAGCGGCGGGCCGACCAGGTGGGGCGCGGGCCGTAAGGTGTGCAGCGGGCGGGCCGTGGGGTTGCAGCGGCGGGGGCCGGCAGTGCAGCGGCGGGGCCCGTTAGGTGAAGCGGCGGGCCGCTGGGTGCAGCGGCGGGCCGGCAGGTGCAGCGGCGGGCCGGCGGTGCAGCGGCGGGCCGGCAGGTGTGCAGCGGCGGGCCGGCAGGTGCAGCGGCGGGGCCCGTCAGGTGAGGCGGCGGGCCGTAGGGTGCAGCGGCGGGCCGTAGGGTGCAGCGGCGGAGCCGGCGGTGGGCCCGCGTCAGGGGAGGCGGCGGGGCCGCGTCAAGCAGGCGGCGGGGCCCGCGACAAGCAGGGCGGGGCCGCGACGAAGCGGGCGGCAGGACCGCGTCAGAGCCTGCGGAGCGGGGCCCGCGTCAGTGGAGGCGGCGGGGCCGCGTCAAGCAGGCGGCGGGGCCGCGACGAAGCTGGCGGCAGGGCCGCGTCAGAGCCGGCGGCGGGGCCCGCCAAGCAGGCGGCGGGGCCGCGATCACGAGGGGTGGCGCGGCCGCGTCTGAGGACAGCGGGCCCGCGAGGGAAATGGCGACCCGAGGGGTCGCTAAAAAAAGGGCGCGCCTCGGGCGCGC